GGGGGGGGGGGAGGGTGCAGAGGGTGTCAGAGAGGACTCCGATCTCATCCTCACTGATGCCAAGTGCACAAGTTTCCCACGCTGTGTAACAGAGGAACATAAGCTTAGCAGCATAAAACACCGCCCAGCCCTCAACAGCAGGGGTCCAGGCACAGGATGGGGCTTGTGGATAAAGCAAATGGCACAGTGTGGCCAGGGACTGAGGGTGGCTCCCAACGAACAGCCAGGGAGACACTGGGCCCTCAGTCTGACAGCCAGGAAGGAACTGAACCCGCCTTACAACCACACTGGCTCAGAGGCCAATCCATCCCCAGTCAAACCTTGAGATGAGACCACAGCCCACCGGATACCTTGATTGCAGCCTCATGAGAGCCGGCAGCAGAGGACCCAGCCAAGTGGTGCCCAGACTGCTGACCCACAGAAACTGTGTAGGAATAAACACGTGTTGTTTTAAGATGCTAAGTTTGTTATAATTTGTTACACAGCAGTAGCTAACTGATACAGGAGTTGAAGAGAGGCCACAGTTGCCAGCTTCAGGACAAAGTGCATGTGTCCGGGGCAGGTGGTCTGGTCAAGTAATGGCTGATGAGCCCACCAGCCGGGAACCCTAGGTCTAGTTCAAACTCCTTGTTTACCAGATAAGACCCAGAGAAGAGACGCAACCAACTCATGGTCACACAGCAAATTCATTTTCTACTTCCCATCACCCTTATAGTGTCAAGGCCCCGACCTTGGTATCAGGGTTGAAAAGCACCAGAGATGGGGAGGGGCAAGACAAGGGTAGGGGATTAAGAAGTGCAAACTATTATGTGCAAAATAAATAAGCTACAATGATATATTGTACAGCACAGGGAATATAGCCAATAGTTTATAATAACCATAAGTGGAGTATAACCTTTAAAAATTGTGAATCACTATGTTGTGCACCTGTAACTTATACAATATTGTACATCAACTATATCTCAATTAGGGAGTGCTCTGGGGACCAGCTGGTTCTTCCACAGGCCTGTGGGGAAATGCCGGATTGCAACCTCTCCACCCCATCTGATTGCTCTTCTAGGTTAGGATGGAAATCAGCAAGCTCTCGTCCTTTCACTGCTGAGGGCCCGGGTTCAGTGCGTGGTCAGAGAACTAAGATCCTCCAAGCCACGCAGCACAGCCAAAAAAAAAAAGAAAAACAAAAACACAACAACTATATCTCAGTTATAAAAAAAAAATAAAAGGAAAGAAAAAACAAAAGGCACCAGAGACGACTGGCCATAAGGTGCCAAGGGCTGCTGCTACCACCCCAGGGAGCCTTACCTTTTCCCTCACGGCTGGCAGTAAAGCATTGAAGCACGTGGCCAGAAAGACCCCGCCTCCAAAGGTGTTGCAGAGTGAGAGGATCTTTTTCGAACGATGGGCCTTCTCAAAATCCGTCTCGATGATCTTCACAGGGAGCAGGGAGCCCAGCAGCATGAAGAAGAACACGCCCACCATGCACAGGATCTTGGCTACCAACAACTTCACCATGGCGGCGGCCCGGGCTGCTCCGGTCACCGGTCACTGCAGGGCCAAACCATGTGTGGGCGCACACTCCCCTCCCACGACGCGCTACGGGGCCCAGCCACGCAGCCGGGGGCTCACGCCTCAGTCCAGCCACTGTGAATGTCAGGGGCAACCGCGTCAGCTATTGGACTGGTTATCTGACCAGCTAAAGCAACCAGGCCCATCACCCCCACTACTTCACCCCATTTCAGGCCTAGCACACGTCCCCGTCTCCTGCAGAAAATTCTCCACGGCTGCACCGCCCAGCACAGCAGTCGCTAGCTGAGTGTGTCTGTGTAAGTTAATTAAAATTAAATAAAATGTAGGCAATTCCCTGGCGGTCCAGTGGTTAGGACTCCGCACTTCCACTGCGGGGGGCACAGGTTCGATCCCCGGTTGGGGAACTAAGATCCTATTATGTGGCACGGCCAAAAAAATTTATTTTAATTTTAAAAAAATTATAGAAAATGTAGCATTCAGCTCCTCAGTTGCGCTACCCACATTTCAAGTGTTCCATAGCCACTTGAGTCTAGCAGCTGCCATACTGGACAGCACAAACAGAGAACATTTCCATTGCTGCAGAATGTTCTGGGTCCCACTGCCCTTACATAAAATCCAAAGGCTTTACCCTGAGGCAAAGGCTCTGCACCATCAGCTCGGGCTCCACCTCCCCTCACTGGCCTTTGTGATCCCTGACGGTGGCAAGCCCGTTCCCGCCTCAGGGCCTTTGCACCGGTTGTTCTCTTGGCCTGGACCACTTCTCTCCCCTGACCTTCCAATGATGCTTGTCTTTCAGGCCCTCAGGAGGGCCTCCCCCTGCCCTAAATGGCATCCGTTGTACCCACCGCAAGGCCTGGTGCAGAACAGATACTCAGTAACCGCTGGCTGAACAAACGGATGAGCTGAAGCATGTGGACCTCTTTACGGGGACTCAATGAGCCAAAGTAAAGATCACGCCCTAGATAGACCCGAAAATGTTACCATTAAAATGAGGGACTGCGGCTGCTCCCCTGTCCTTAGGCTTTCTCCCCAACCTCCCAGTTCTCACTGCCCGCGTCCCCATGTCAGCTCAGATGCCACCAGTGGAGAGGGGTCTCCTACCCCGTCCCCTAGCATCATTGGTGCTACAGGGAACTACATAATTTAAAGTCCCTGAATGTCATCACTCGCCCTGGGCTGAGACTTCCACGGGAGCAGGGAGTGTGTCTTCCTCAGCCCAGAGCCAGGTACAGTAGGCGCCCAATAAATACCTGCCGAGTGTCGGGATGCCTCAGTCTGTGGGGGTGAGGGTGGCCTGGGCTCCCTCAAGCCGGGGGCTGATGGGGCTGGGCATTGGGGACGGGTTCATTCATTCATCCTTTCACTCAGCACTTATTGAGCGCCTTCTGTGTGTCCCGCGCTGCACTGGGCGCCCCGCTCGAGAGGGGACAAGTCGCGCTCCGCTGGGGGAGCCGGACGCAAATCACACAGATCGCCAGTAAAGGCGGGGCCTCGGCTAACAGGCGGCAGAGCCTGCCAGGGCCCGGGCCGCCCCGGCCCCCAGTCCCGCCCCGGCCCACACGTACCTCCGCCGGGTCATCGCCCACCCGCCTGAGCCGCCCACCGGCTCAACCGCCGCGCCGTGTTGACCCCACTGCAGCTCTCCCGGTCTAGCCCCGGCTAGGCGCGCCGCTACCCACGCCCCTGCCCATTGGCCTCCCCAAGCTCAGCGGGCCAAGATCTCCATTCCATTGGCTGCTATGGCTGCCACTCACCCCGCGACTCCACCTCTCCTACCGGCAAGGGAAAGTAGTTTCCTCCCACTGAGCTGCGGGTACAGCCACCGGGCGGCTCCGGTGGGAAACTCCGACCCTAGGGGAATGGTTCCGCCAGCGTCTGGCTTCCAGAGCTGTCCAGGGGTTCCTGGTGCTGAATCCCGTTCGGATCGAGGTTTGGCCATTGTCAGAAAACGATTTGCTACGGTTGACTATCTCTCTCGGAGGGTCCTCGCTGCTGATGCCCTTCCCGTCGGTTTAAGTTGCAGATTTATCCGTTCAACATCTCTGCCTCCTATGTACCAGGACCTTTTCTAGGAGAACATCTGTCAACAAAACAAAAGACAGAAAATAATCGACAAACATAATAAGTAATAAAATTATGTCAGAAGGTGACAAGCGCTCTGGAATAATAGAGCCCAGTAAGGGTTATCAGAGTGCTGGGAGGTGGCTTGGGATGAACACACACACACTACTATACATAAGATAGATAACCAATAAGGACCTACTGTATAGCACAGGGAACTCTACTCAGTATTCTGTGATAACCTATATGAGAAAAGAATCTTAAAAAGAATGAATATATGTATGTGTATAACTGAATCACTTTGCTGTACACCTGAAATTAACACAACATTGTAAATCAACTATACTCCAATAAAATTAAAAAATATATATTTTTAAAAAGAGTGCTGGGGCTTCCCTGGTGGCGCAGTGGTTGAGAGTCCGCCTGCCGATGCAGGGGACATGGGTTCGTGCCCTGTTCGGGAAGATCCCACATGCCGCGGAGCGGCTGGGCCCGTGAACCATGGCTGCTGAGCCTGTGCGTCTAGAGCCTGTGCTCCGCAACGGGAAAGGCCACAACAGTGAGAGGCCCGCATACCAGAAAAAAAAAAAAAAAAAGAGTGCTGGGTGGTGGATTGCTATTTTAGGTTTTTTTTAAGGATGTGTACCCAAGAGTGGAATTGCTGGGTCAAATGGATATTTTTTAGGTGAGGAAAAGGAGACTTTTTTTTTTTTTTTAATGGCTTGACCCACTGCCCCATGAAAGCAACCAGACTGGGCTTCCCTGGTGGCGCAGTGGTTGAGAGTCCTTCTGTGGATGCAGGGAACCTGGGTTCATGCCCCGGTCTGGGAGGATTCCACATGCCGCGGAGCGTCTGGGGCCGTGAGCCATGGCCGCTGAGCCTGAGAGTCCGGAGCCTGTGCTCCACAACGGGAGAGGTTACAACAGTGAGAGGCCCGCGTACCGCAAAAAAAAAAAAAAAAAAAAAGCAACCAGACTTATGAAAGAGAGGACTGTATTCATCTGTTAACCTATATCTTATTGTCAGCCTACCATGAGCCAGGCATAGGGAAAGTTGCTAAGAATAAAGTGGAGAATGCTACAATATGGATGAACCTGGAAGACATCAGGCTAAGTGAAATAAGGCAGTCACAAAAGGATAAATACTGTGTAATCCCACTCATAGGAGGTCCCTAGATTAGTCAAATACATAGAGACAGAAAGTAAATGGTGGGGGCCGGGGGCTGGGGGAGGGGCTGGGGAGTCAGTGTTTCCTGGGGACAGAGTTTCAGTTTGGGAAGATGAGAAAGTTCTGGAGATGGATGATGAGGATGGTTGCACAACAATGTGAATGTACTTAATGCCACTGAACTGTACACTTAAAAATTGTTAAAATGGTAAATTTAATGTTATGTATATCTCATCACAATTTTTGAAAATTTTAATAAAATGGAGTGAAAAAGCCCATGCCCTCACAGTTCACAATCTAGTGGGAGAGACAAGTATTAATGAAATAATAGCATATTATTAGGCAGACTTCTAAGATGGTTCCAAATGATTCCAACATCTTAGGATTTATGTCCTTGTATAATCCCCTCTGCTTGAGCCTGGGCTGCACCCAGCGACTTGATTCCAACAAATAAGATATTGTCAAGTGATAGAATATCATTTCCATGATTAGGTTTCAGAAGACTGACTTCTGTCTTCCTAGACAGCTCTCTCTATTGCCTTTTTGCTTTCGTGCTTTGATAAAGCAAGCTGAGATGCTGAAGATGCCCACATTGCAAGAAAGTGAGGGTGACCTCCAGCCAACAACTGAGACCTTGGTACAAGAGCCTACAAGGAAGTAAATCCTGCCAATGACCACGAGTGATCTTGGAGGGGGGTCCTGCTCCCATTGGGCATTCAGAGGACTGATGCCCAGTGGACACTTTGATTGCAGCCTCTGAGGGACCCTGAAGCTTAGGACTCAGCTAAGTGAACCTGGATTCCTGACCCACAGACACTATGAGATAATAAACGTTGTTATCATAAGTCACTAAGTTTTGGGGAAATTTGTTATGCACAAAAGATAACCAATACAGGGACTTCTCTGTTGGTCCAAGGGTTAAGACTTTGTCTTCCAGTGCGGGGGGTACGGGTTCGATCCCTGGTTGGGGAGCTAAGATCCCACATGCCAGAAGCAATATTGTAACAAATTCAATAAAGACTTTGAAAATGGTCCATATCAAAAAAAAAGATAACCAATACATACATATAAAGGGAAAACTGTAGGTTGTACTAAGTGTCATGAAGAAAAAAAAAAAGAGAGAGAGAGAGACAGTTCTGTGTTAATCAAATAAAGAACAGTGAGAAGTAAGGGGTGAAGAGAGAATGTTTGATGCAAAAGTAGAAAGGAGCTTGTGATATTGGAGGAACTGGAAAGCCAGGCTGTCTGAATATTGGTGAGTGACAAGGACAGTCCCAGAGACCATTTTAAGGCATCTGAATTTCCCCATCGATGCAATGTGAGTCAATGATGAAAACTCATTGAAGAGTTTTAAGAAGGTGAAGGTTGTGATTCAACTGATGTTTTAAGGTTATTCTGAGTCCTGTGTAAAGAAAGGATTGTAAGGGAGCGAGAATGAAGGCAGGGAAACCAGTTGGGTCATCTGAAAAAGAACTGATGCTAGTTTAGGTGTAGGTGGGAGGTGGAAGGGAGTGGATGAATCTCAAAGATATCTTGGGTGAATTGACAGGACTTGGTCCTGGTTTGTCTGTGGGCCGTAGGAGTAGGAGGTGTTGGGAATGACTTCTAGTTTTCTAGTTTGAGCCACTAGATGGATCCTGGTGCTATTCACTAAAATAGGAAAGACCGGAGGAGGCACAGACATTGGAGGAGTCAAGAGTCTAAGTCTGGCTTTGCAGAGGTTAAGTATGAGATGTCTATGAGTTCTTAACGTTTAATGTCACTTTCCGCCTTCACAGAGCTTGCTTCATTATAAGCATGCAATATATGGTAGCTATTTTTTAAATTAAAGTATAGTTGATTTACAATGTTTTTCAAATTAATTTTTATTGGTGTACAGTTGATTTACAATGTTGTGTTACTTTCTGCTGTACAGCAAAGTGACTCAGTTATACATATACATATATCCACTCTTTTTTAGATTCTACTCCCATATAGGTCATTACAGAGTACTGAGTAGTGTTCCCTGTGCTATACAGTAGGTTCTTATTAGTTACAGTGTTGTGTTAATTTCTGCTGTACAGCAAAGTGACGCAGTTATACATATATATACATTCTTTTTCATATGCTTTTCCATTATGGTTTATCACATGATACTGAATATAGTTCCCTGTGCTAAACAGTAGGACATTGTCGTTTATCTACAGTAGTCTACAGTAGTTTGTATCTGCTAATCTACAGTAGTTTGTATCTGCTAATCCCAAACTCCCAATCCAACCCTCCCCTGCCTCTCCCCATCTTGGCAACCACAAATCTGTTTTCTATGTCTGTAAGTCTGTTTCTGTTTTGTAGATAAGCTCAATGAACTCACATTTTAGATTCCACATGTAAGTGATATCATGTGGTATCTGTCTTTCTCTGTCCGACTTACTTCACTTAGTATGATAATCTCTAGGTCCATCCGTGTTGCTGCAAATGGCATTATTTCGTTCTTTTTTACAGCTGAGTAGTGTTCCATTGTGTTTTGTGTGGTAGCTATTTTTATTATTAGACACAAAGTGACTTGACTCTTTTTCTGTTTTCTGTAATTCACAACAATAACAAAAAAGATCGTTCATAATAACAGCACACCAGGTAAGTGCCCACAGGGTGACTCCCTCCTATAGGAGAATTCGTAATGTGCAATATTTATTCATAATTCTTTAGAGCATGAGACTGCTCAGAGAAGAAGCTGCAAAGCTTTGGGCTTTTATTCATTCAGACACATTTTTGAAAGCTTCTTAGAGGCCAGGACCTACATAAGAGCAGGTACTGTCAGAGTACAATAAAATATATATATACTGACAAATCTGACTATATCGAATACTTCGAAAATCTCCCATAGTGAAAGACTCTATGAATAGGATAAAAAGACAAGTGATAGGCTAGGAGGTGTTGATAATAGATGAGACCGAGCTTTTGATAGCAAGCAAACATCCTAAAATGAAAATAGGAAGGGAGGGGCTTCCCTGGTGGCGCGGTGGTTAAGAATCCGCGTGCCAATGTAGGAGACACAGGTTCGATCCCTGGTCCGGGAAGATCCCACATGCCGCAGAGCAACTAAGCCCGTGTGCCACAACTACTGAGCCCATGTGCCACAACTACGGAAGTCGGCACGCCCAGAGCCTGTGCTCCGCGACAAGAGAAGCCACCGCAGTGAGAAGACCGCGCACCGCAACGAAGAGTAGCCCCCTCTCTCCGCAACTAGAGAAAGCCCGCGGGCAGCAATGAAGGCCCAACAGAACGAAAAATAAATTTTTTTAATAAATAAAAATCGGAAGGGAAGGGAAGGAACGGACAGTTCTCAGGAGAGCAAACACAAGAGGTGAATACATATAGGAAAATATGCTCAAGCCATACAGATAATCACAGAAATAGGAAATAAAA